CAGGTGTTTTCAGTCTTCTGAATATCCGCCGCTGGTCTATCTAGGATAGGAAGTAAACCAAATAATGTTTACTCGTGTTATTTAAAGAATCCATCAGAGATAACACAATGTAAAATTGAATCATTTGTTACGCAAATTAGTTCCCCGCCAACAAAGTCGCCATGATTGCGTAACCTTCCTTTGTCAGAAGTATTCTGTTAAGTCCACTGTCTTCAAATGGTCAGGAGGACACTTTGTCAAACTACAGTCTCTTCAAACTTACGGGGCATTTGACGTCAAGTCTGTTAATATCAATGGTCACACATTCCTCTCTTTTGCCTGCTACTACTCTGGAAGTTCCTACAACACTGACTCGTTTATTTATAAATGGGATGGTACCAAGTTCGTTCTTTTCCAGTCTATTCCTACTCGTGGAGCCCTCGCTTGCCATCCTTTCGTGATCAGCTCTCATACCTTCTTAGGTGTGGCCAATCATTACGACAGCAGCCAGAAATACAACACACAGTCAGCCGTGTACCAGGCCGCTGGAGCAAAGTTCATCAAGTACCAAGAGATTTCCACCCGTGGAGCGTTTGATATGACATCATTTGAGTACAAAGGTCACACTTATCTAGCTGTGGCAAACCACTACAATCAGAAGTACAACATAAACAGTGCTTTGTTCAAGTGGGTGTAGAAATAGGGACAAAAGACGAAAAGCGTAATGACCAAGAGTCTTAGCTGCTTTATGCATTGGTATAGTGATAGTATTTGATAAAAATCGAAGAAAACGTTTCAGATTTAGGGATAGTCGAAATTGATATCTTTGATAAATGAGTGCTTATCAGCCCCTTTAAGAGTGAAATATACAATAAAGCTGTGCATTGAACATGATACTAAAGTCTGGTTTCTTTCTAATTTTGAGTGAGTAAATACCTTTCACTTTCATTGATAAAAGTTGATCCCAAGAACAGCACTATCAGATACGTTCAATATTCTTAAATGGACTAAATACCCTAAACTCATTTGTTGTTTGTGTGTTTTGCCACAGAAATCACTTCTTCTTCCACCCCCACCCCCTTATGAATTATTTACACAGACGAAGAGATCAGGGGTGATATTTCCATTTAATTCTGATTTCTTTTGGATCCAAGAATGTTGATAATGGTTGGTACCATAATTCTAAGTAAGTAAATATCTTCGAAATTTAAAAGTTCAGACAGCCCATAACATTCTTTGCTCTCAACGCTCTGTTGACTTTGACAAGAGCATAAATGTAATATTATAATAGTTATGTAATTTATGATCTTCTCCTCAACAAGGGTTACTGCTCACATCATTTGCCGGAAACATTCTTTCTTTTTGTTTTTAACAGCCTTAGAAGTGAGCTTGGTGATAACTTTTTAGATTGAGCAAAGTGAGGAAGGAGGCGAAGTCCAGAGTAAGGAGTGAGGAAGTTTTGGGAAATTTTTCAAAATAGTTTGTATTGTCTGCAATACAACGTAAACATGCCCAATTATTTCCGGCTCAACAAATTGTGATCATTTTCATGACAATAGGTTGCCATAACAACATCACGCTTTGAAATGCCACAAATTTGTGCGTACAAATATCCCATTCTCTTTTAAGGAGACACCCGCACACCTAAACAATCCCATGAATCTCTAATCAAAATAAGTCGGAGATCCTATCGTCTGATTTTCTGAATTTCCTGTTGCTGCAAATTCATTTATCTTTTACAATACAAAAAAGTGTTGAACATTATATTATGCGATGTGAACAATTGGTATAAATGATCACTTTTGAGATGAAGTACTAGAAAATTGAAATATCTAAAAAAAATGTAGTGATATTACTTTCAACAGATTTCACGCTTCTTAATAGTACCAGGACCAGGTATGTACCAAGCATATAGAGAGCCCTTTCTCCCCCCTTCCTCCCCTCCTTTCACTCCCCTGAGCATGTGGATGAAGAGCACTGTAGGATCACCTTACCCCTCAAAGACCAGAAAATTGCCGACTTCCTACGAAAGGAGCCTCATACCCTCAGCTGGAAAGTTTTACTCGACTATAGTAACCGGTCCTCATAGATAATTACACCTCAGAATGTTTACAAATTACAAAAAAAAGCCCTCCATAGTGAACCAACAATGCCTTGAAAACAAATTTAAATGTAAGAGATGTGATGCATATTATACAGGCGATACAATCTATTTACTATCATGGGGGAGTATAAATACTCTACATCTGAAAAAACAACAGAAGAGGGCCATCTCGCGTAGCTGAGGGCTTTTCTTGTGTGCAAAGCGACGAGGCTTGAGACGGTGGCTGGTTGTCTATTCATAAGATGAAAAATTCCCTTTGAAAATTTAAAAAGTTTCTCCCCCTCGGAATGCTTTCCTTGAAATTAGCGTAAGTTGACTACAGCTGTAACGAGATGGAAATGAGGAAAGTGGAAAAAAAGACACAAAAAGCTTTTTCGTCACCAAATATGTGTCGAGAGAGGCGTTAGAGTTTGTCAAAGAAAGATGTAGAGCAGGCCGTGAAGCATTTGTTTAATCAAGCGTTGCGGTAAGCGGAAAAATGTTTGAGCCATCCTCTCCAAGGGCTTCAGCAATAGTATTACTGTTTTTACGATCTTATTATTTCTGGCGAGGAAGGAAGTGAATTCAAGGAAGGTTTCTGGAGGGTGGCAAAGGTGGGGCTCCAATCACAGCACGCTGAATTTTTCTATCGAATCACTCATCACGGGTAATTTTTTTAACCAAACACGCGTCACGTAAAAAGAAGTAAGTACACTAAGCTAAAATTGTAAGATTTCAACTTATCGGATGTATCCAACGATTTTATCCTGGAATGATCTGCGTTTTACTTGTCAGGTTGCTTTTTGTTAGACAAATAAAGATGATTTACTTGTTGAAACTAGACAACCACTGAAGATCATAGTCCTTGGGCAAATGTTAGCTACATTAACTTATGCATATTGTGTTACGATTGTTTGGACCTACCAGGAAGATCAAAGACATCAAAGGTCAGGCGAAGGTCAGCAAATTATAAAAGGACGGAAAAGACCAGAAAACAGTTTATTGATCTTTGTTAAGACTCTATTTACATTGAATAATTGGTTTCCTCTTGGTCAAAGAGCGTTCACTATCACGGAAATCTAATTAGTAAGTCTTGTAAATCACGAGTCACGCACTTATAAAATAGAAAATCACGCATCAAGTTGTGAGATCCGGTCCCGCGTCACGCGGATAATTTAGGTTCACGCGTTATCCTGCAAATTTTGGGGCTATCACGCATCACGCAAAAACCCTTTGCCACCCTCTTTCTGATCGCCTCCTGGTTGATAAGTAATCGAATGACAGGGTACTGTCACCTGCGGCAAGAAGGGACACACTGAAAGTCATTGATTGACACAGAATAACGGGCGCCATTCTCACTTGAGGAATGGGGAAGCGCTTTCCCGAAATTTCTTGGCCACCGAATTCTTTCCCGGGCTAGGTTGGGTACTACACTCTAGTGAAGAAGTAGAAGATGGCAAAAGCCATCAGTAGCTTGAAATATTTTGAATCAGCAAGCGCGGCGAACCAATCAAGGTGGTTTCTGAGCCCTTCAGGAGACTCCAATTTATCTTATGGAAAAATCGCAGCAACACAATCTGCAGTTATCATTTGCATTGTTCCCTTGTAAATGTCTCCCTCGCTTGATGGGCTTTCGGTTTATCTTTACTCTTTGCCATCGATAGTCTTTAACCGCCTCCTCGATTTTTTCATCACAAAATGAATGAACTCTTTGAAAGAGAGTCCATTTGAGTGCTTATTGAACGCTCTCCTAGCTGTATTTAAAAGTTATCACTGATTATAAACATGCACCAGGACCGTGCGACCACAACAAGCATGGCTTACCTTGTTTTTCACTCAGCCTTGTTTGCATCCTGAGTACGTGTCACTTTATGGTGCTCGTTGCATCTGCTTTCTGGATTCCTTGTACTCCTTCCGTTTATTTTCTCAACAAATATAAATTTAGACAGAAGGTTTTAAATGTTAACAAACATTTACTTTAGTGTCAAATGTATTTAGGTACGAGCTATTTGGGGACACTACACATAGCCGGCATAGAATTTAGCTGACAATAAAACATTGAAAAAAATTAATAAAGAGCCTTACACCAACTACACAGTCTAATCTCACATTTACAATCTAAATTGTACAATTTATGATCTGAATCCAAAATATAATATCACTATTTATAGAGGTAGCAACACCTACTATTACGATTTAAAATACTACTGATATCTAGTTTTCTTATGGTGTTTTGAGAGGACTGAAGGTTAAATAATTATTTGCCCAGCTAGTTGTGTAGCCTGTTCTATATTGCGGGTCTGAAGTAAAGTATTTTTGCCGTAAGTTAATGTGTTTCAAAAATCGATATAAATTAAAATCTTTGTTATAAATAATAACTTGAACTACTTAAAATAGTCTAAGCTATTATTCGCACCTATTATCTACAAATCTCTATCCAGCTGCAAGGGATTTTGACCTTCAGCTTGAAGGAAAACGAGTAACCAATCATTCTGTCAGGAAAACCTGTATTTAAAGGCTCATATCATCCATTACATTTTTGAAAAATTCCTTATAATGATGTAAAGCGAGCTGAATTCTTGCTATGGACACCTTTCCTTCCCCCGATCAAAATGTTTTTTTTTTACTGCATTTCTTTGTTAAAGACCAAAACAACTCGTCTTCACTGATAAGGGTCTAAATTCTCCTTAACAGATCACTATGCAAGATAACAATGTTTTAAGGAGACATAAGAAGTTCATCGTAGTCGGTCAGTTAGCATATCATAATCCATAAACTACAAATTCTCATTGTGCATTGTAAACACTATTCATAACACAAGCCCTTGGACATCCTGAATTTTCCTGTTGTGGGGCAAGATAAACAGAGTTTGAAAGTTGTTCCCTGTATTCTGACTGATTCGTCTGCCATTTCATATCGGAGGGCGCTGAGAGTGAAAATGTTTCGCTTATTCTTTGTGTTGGCTCTTGCCTTTTTGTTGAGTTCCTTCGCAAAATCAAAGATCAAATCTGCTAATCAGGTAACCAAATTGATAACAAGGTTTAACCTAATTGTAGTCGAATCGGAATTAGAGTGCAAGTGAAAAATTTTGAGTTTTGCTCGAGCGTGTAATTTCCCAAGTGACCCCTTTGATTTTATAACTTATGGGTACGCTTTTCGTTTTTATTTAAATTTTTTTATTTAACTAAAAAAAAACAGAGTCGTGGAACAGCGGCAAGATCAAACTGCTGTGCTTCACAAGCCGGATACTGTAAAGATGGTGGGTAAATAATAAAAATACGTCAATACTTGTTACGAGCATGTAGTTATTTGCATATGCTCTGCCTATGGGCGAGAAAGAAAGAAATTCGAGTTTCTTCACTGATGTCTGGTTTCTGTTAATTTCTGGACAGGAAAAGACGGAAAAGATGGACAAAACGGTGAGTGTATGAAAGTTACTTTCTGGTGCATTCATCGAGTTATTAACTAAAAAATGAATAACATTTCACCAAAAAATGAACGGTTTATCTACCTACCTAACATAAGAAAATTGATTTGCTTTTTTACGCCAGGAAAAGATGGACGCGATGGAATAAACGGTGATGTAGTTATTTATTTTAAGTGAATTTTTTTTATTTAGATTGGAAATATTTTAAGCATGAATTCCTTCACAAACAAAGTGGTAGGGACTAGTTATGATTAATTTTCTGGTGGGGGATGGTGGAGGACTTTGGGGGGGGGGATGACATGTTTTTAAGGGGGTATAGATGGGGGATCAGTCGTCGCCAACAGAATGTCAAGGGGGGACCATAGCAAAATGATTGCCAACCAGCTGCCAGTGGACGGTGGGGTAGGGAGTCGTAAGAATATCAAAGAGCCTTCGAGGAGCATCAGGTAAATTTTATCGTGACACAATCAAAATCCTCGGGCTGACTCACTGACTAGTCCTTTGTTGGAATTTAACGAGGAAAAAAAAACTTGTGTCAAGTTAATATCACAACGAGTTTGAATGACTGAAAATTACCGTGAATAATACATTTGTTGGGAAACGAAGGTGTAACAAAAAACAAAAGAAGTATTACGTAGAAGATATAATTTTTTAAGAAGTGACTTTTGTTGCTGTTTTTGTTTATCTGTGTTTTCACATTTTGTACTGATCACCAATATTTCAACATAGGACGAGATGGGAAAGTTGGAGCAAAGGTTATGTATTTTTAAAACGAAAATGTAACCATTAAAAAAAATGACTTTGAAATGAATTTGAAGAATACAAATGTGTTGAATTGTATATGACGTAACTCTCCTTGTTAGTCGTGTATTCACAAGTACTTTAATCAAGCTGTTGTCATGAGATTACTGTTGTCGAGAGATTATTTCGATTCATTTTAAATTATTCAGGGAGAGAAAGGTGAACCAGGCATGCATGGTGTGAATGTAAATGCTAGCATCAAGGTTGGTAAAACTTATATTCAGCATATTTAATTTAAAAATATGATAATCTTTATACTGTCAAATGCAAAAAGTTAAGTGACTTTCTAGCTAATTTTTTTATTTGGCTTTGATCTAATTGACACGTCAACTGTTACCAATTATTTATTTGGAATATTTAAATCGTGATTACTGTAGGTATCCCAGCCAAGAAGATTCATTTATAGAATTAGGTTTTGGCAAGGGAGAACAATTCATCATTCCGAACTGTAAGAGTTCTCTTGCTTCTTAATTTTCCCGTATTGGAGATTTACCTGACTGTCAATGAATGCAATGAAGTACGTTGCTAATACGTTAAATTTTGATTTCTTTAGGGGGAGAGGGGTGAACCAGGACAAAAGGGAGAGAATGGTAGTTCTAGTTCCAAAGTTTCTGAGTCTCAATTATTCAGTTAAACTAGGACCTAAAAAAAAAAGAAAAAAAAAAAAAAGAAAAAAAGAAAAACTACGATAACAGTAGGACTAGGAACCCCTGATAGAACCTGGTAGGGATTGGTCATTATTCGGGGTGGGGGGGGGGGGGGGGGGGGCCCACGGCTTCTTTCTCAAGTAAGTTTTCATGAGGTGTATATTCTTTCGTTCAACGCAGCTTAAAAGATAAACTTGAAAAACATTAACTTCTCAAAGTTGTTTATTGACGAATGGCTAAACAAGTTCTCTCCTTTAAGTCCATCCCATACAACCTTTTTTATTAGCTTGCTTTTTCATCGAGGGCGAGAAAGGATCTGTTGGACAGAAAGGATCACAAGGACAAAAGGGACAGAAAGGAATGCCGGGAACATGTGATGACCTGGTATGGAAAGATATGATGGATAGAAATCATCACCTAAAAGTGTAACAGTCCTTATGTACTTCTAAAGTAATGACATATTATAACAAGTAATTTACTACTTTTTCTTTCATTATTGTTATTATTTTTGATGTTCTTTGACATGCAGCAGCATGAAATGATGATAAATAATAACGAGGTTTTCAATAATTTTTGGCAGAGCTCCTCGTCATCCTCCGGGAAAAGAAGGTGTTGTAAAGATGGTAGGAATAAATTTTCACTTGTTTTTGTGGCTACTGTCTCCTATAGGCGGCGAGGCCGCATATGTCGTCAAAATGAGTGAGTGAGTGATGGTAACAATAGAATTCTAATCTTGATACAATTTTTACCCGATGTTCACTGTGCTACTTGTTCTTTGTTCCAGAGTTCTATAGATGACTATAAACATCTCACGATAATTTCCGGATTGCGCATGAAAAAACAGAGCCTTTTTTTAAAAGAAATACCTCATAAGGTGTGATCGGCGCATCATGAAAACCTAGAGGAAAACTTTTTTCTTTGAAGGGCGAGTATTTTACCGTGTGAATCAGCGAATAATGCCCAGTAGATCGGAAGATACTTTTTTTTTGTTCTTGCCGTTACACTACAAAAGGTGATAAACATCTCAAAATAATTTTGTAGTGGCCTCACTATTAAAAACAAGGCTTTTGCTTGCAGAATAGCTTTGATCTGCACATCGCGGAAACTTTCGTGAAAATATTGATTTATTCGAAGAGAGAGCATTTTACCATTTTAATCAGTGACTAATGCGCCAATGAACCGCTAAATTCGCGAAGCATGCAAGGTCTGAAATACCATACCTTGTGTTTAACAGAGTGACCCTATTCAAAGGAATGATCGAACGGTAGAATGATAGATTGGTGGAATGGCGAATTGGAGGAATGGCGGAATGGAGGAATATCCCACAACGCAGAATGCCTTGTTGTGTGAAAAGAAAGTCTCACAAAAATGGAATTGCAATGGAATTAGAAAAAAAGTTATAATTTACAAGCGAAATGAAAAGAAGCATAGTGTAATCATTATTGAACCTATAGGAGAGACCGATAGAGGAACGGTGTGGTTCTTCAACCAGCCCCTAAAAAATATTAATACCTTCACTATTGTTATCATTATTATTATTGATATGATGATATGATTATTTGTCACCAAGTTATCATTGGTTAAATATCAGTTAGTCGCTATATTCTTAAATCATCTCTCTCTTGTGTAACAGGGTATTCATGAATGTGAGATGCGGCAAGTTTTCTGCACTGTATGTGAGACAAATCTTCTACAACACAACCTTTCGGTATCATTATACAATATTCACTTGTTTTCAGTACTATAAGAATTGTGATATATCAGTAGCCACATACAGTCTTAAACTACTCACTTCTTTGACGATTGCCGTTCAAGTGCACAGTAAAAGGCCCCTTTCAAATTTAATGCTAGCTGAAGGCATAGTTCGTTGGAATAAGTTTTTTACTTGTTTTGTTTTAATGATAAATGTTTTTAAGTGCACAGTAAAACACCCCCAGATCAAGGCGCAAACTACGTCGTACTGAAAAATAATCTAATTTGGACGGATAAAACGCCAAATTTGGTCTATTCCTTTGATAGTGGTGTGATGAGGTTGCAAGCCTATGAATCAGTTCTAATATTTCAAGAGCTTTTTCAATGAAATAAAGGTCAGTTGAAGAAATTATGCTGAAAAAACTTATTACTATTTAGAAGGCACAAACTATGTTTATTGAAGAATGCATCAATTTGGATGGACAAAACGCCAAATTGGCCGACCACTGCGATAGCGATGTGATAATCTGTACGAAAAGATTCTGAAGGTTGCAAGCCTAGGAAACGGTTCTAATATTTCAGGAGCTTTTTCAGCGAAATAAAGGTCAGTTGAAGAAATTATGCTGAAGAAACTCATTACCATTTAGATAACTTAGTTTTAATTTCTTTCGTAAAATCGCACTACGAAGATTGCAGCAAAATCAAAGACGGCAATATCGAGCCATATACATCAGACACTAGCTAATTTTTTGCTCGTGGTATACTATTTCTGTTTAATCAATATTTTTTCGATTACCTCTGCTTAAATTAAAGCTTTTAGGGAATTCTCGTTATGATTTACAAAAAGTGCTAAAAAATGCCTTCCAAAACATACGAATAATGAAATGAAAGCTGATGACAGGAAACAGAATTGCCGTAAAGTTTCGAGTGGACATTTATACTTTGTTTTTATACTTTATACTTTGGTTTTCGTTTCAATGTAAACAAGATTTTCGACAAACTTCTGAGTGAAGGTCCTTTTTCATACTTCAGTTCTATGTAGTTTAACGGCACAATAGACAATATATTTTGAACCAATCAGAGCGCCCGTTGTGTGTCAGATATGTTAAGATCGGCCAATCCCTCTATTCGCAGAAATGAACCCATTAAACACAGATTTCGCACTAGTCCGAGATGCTCAGCCCCCTTACATTTCCCGAAGCAAATGTTAACATTATTGTGCATACAATCGGGCGATGAATGAGAAAGGGGAAGGGGTAAAAATAAGTCCGATATGTTGATTTTTCTTGAGCCAAGAATAAAACCTGGGAGATAACACCTTGCACAATGCGATGAGTTCCACCTTTAGAGACACTTTTAGCCAATTTGAAGAGGCTTGACGCATCTTCTTTGATGGATGTATTTTACCACAGTTAGTCATGTGATCTCTTGAAAATGGCGTCAAAAAATGACCAATCATTTATTGAAGTTTTAATAATCAGCTATTCATTTTTATGACATTAACTAGCGAGAATACGGACTTTTAGAAACACCCTTAATTTGAGCTTAATGTGCCTGCAGCTAAAAGACGGGTTCGGCAACCCTCATAGTTTATCATTAAATTGCAATCAGTACAGTTTCTCAATATTCATCCTTCTCAAAAAATCTTTACATGCGATTCTATTCAAGTCGTTCTGTTCCCTATTTAATTTTGAATTCTTATTCAAAGTTAAATAGGGATCTATTTTCTGATATGCTGACTGCAATACAGTATTAGTGATAGAGAGTTAAGTGTTTCAGAGGATGGAATGTTGCTTTGGTAGCATTAGTTTTTGTAGAAAGAATTGTTGAATAACAGTTTCGCATGTTTCGACAAAAGACGAAAAGTGTAATGACCAAGAGTCGTAGCTGCTCATGCATTGGTGTAGTGATAGTGTTTGCTCAATAATCGATGAAAAAGGTTCATATTTAGGGATTGTTTGTCAAAATTATATATGTTTGATAAATGAGCTGTGTTTATCAGCCTTTTTAAGAGTGAAATTAGCAATAAAGCTGTGCATTGAACATGATATTAACGTCCGGTTTCTTTCTATTTTTGTTTGAGTAATAAGCTTTCTCTTTTATTGATAAAACTTGATCCCAAGAACAGTATCATCAGATGCATTCAACATTCTTAAGTGGACTAAAATACCCTCAGCTCATCTGTTGTGTGTGCGTGTTGTCACAGAAATCACACCTCCCCCCACCCCCTAATGAATTCTTTACAGAAACGAAGAGATCAGGGGTGATATTTCCATTCAATTCGGATTTTTTGTGGATCCAAGAATGTTGATAATGGTTGGTACTACAACTGTAATCAAGAAAACGTCTTCGCAAATTAAAAATTTTAGGAAGCTTATAACATTCTTCGTTATCAACGCTATGTTGACTTTGACAAGAGCATGAATGTAATATTACAATTGTTACATAGTTTATGATCTCCCTTCTCAGCAAGGGTTACATTCTTTCTTTTTGCTTTCAACAGTCATAGAAATGAGCTCGGAGACAAAATTTTTCAGATTGAGCAAAATCAGGAAGGAGGCTTGTTTTTGAAGCTATGTGTAGAGATTTCGGGAGTTTTGGGAAATTTTTACAATAGCTTACCTCTTCGAAAGCAAATAATAAAAAAGAAAATAAAAAGAAGACAAGAGCGTTTACAAACTTGTTTTTGAAGCTATATGAGTTAACAAAATGGAATTTTTATGTAAGAAAAAAGTTCAACTGACTAAAGATGAACTTTTGAATACCTCAGGGAGCACGCACAGGTTTTTTTAATTTCAGAATTAAACTCCTTGATGGCTCTGAGCTTCCGACATGATGGAACTTTTCTGTCTGTTTCTTTAGTACAATGTAAAAATGCCAGATTGTGATCATTTTTATGACATCGGGTTACCTAATAACACCACAGCCTTGAAATAGCCACAAAACATCCGCTTTATCAGTTTAAAGGCTGGAAAATTTGTTCGAACAATATCCCATTCTCTTTTAAGGAGACATCCTAACACATAGACAAACCCACGAATCTCTAACTGAAATAAGTCAGAGGTACTAGCGTCTGATTTTATGAATTTCCTGTTGTTACTTATTCATTCATCTTTTACAATAAAAATAGTGTTTAACAGTATATCATGGTATCATGGTAGACGACCGACCAAGGAACTTTACCAGGTTATCAAAGCCATGTTAAAAATTGGTATAAATGATCACTTTTGAGATGAAGTACTAGAAATTGAAACATTTAAAGAGATGTATTGATTTTACTTTCAACAGATTTCACGCTTCTTAACAGTACCAGGACCAGGCGTGTACCAAGCATATAGAGAACCCCTGCTACCCTTCCCCCTCCTTTCACTCCCCTAAGCATGTGGATGAAGGGCCCTGTAAGAATCACCTTACCCCTCAAAGACCAGAAAATTGCCGACTTCTTCCGAAAGTTGCCTCGTTCCCTCAGCTGGAGAGCTTTACCCGACCATAGTAACCGATTCTCATGAGCAATTACATCGCAGAATGTTTGCAAATTACGAAATTAAATAATGATCTCCTCCCGGTTGGTGAGTAATCGAATGACAGGGTACTTTCACCTGCGACAAGAAGGGATACACTTTAAGTTCTTGATTGACACCGGCTGACGCCATCGTCATTCGAGGAATAAGGAAGCGCTTTCCTGAAACTGAAAGATTTTCTTGGCCATCGAATCCTTCCCCGGGTGGTTGCTGCCGTCCTAGGTTGGGGACTACACTTGCGAAGAAACTGAAGATGGCAAAAGCCGCTAGAACCTTGAAATATATTGAATCAGCGACGCGCGGCGAATCAATGAAAGTGGTTTCAGAACCCTATCTTAAGGAAAAATCGCGGTAACACAATCTGCTGGTAACGTTTCCATTTTTTTCCTTGTAAAGGTCTCTCGCTTGAC